TATTAGGATTTTGTCTAAGTTTTTATTTCTTTACTGATTTTCAGCTACTTTTCTTTGTTCCTGTTTCAGGTGTATGCCTAATCGCAGAACCAGAAGCAACAAAGAGAAGGAGCTTGTGACTTTGAGCATCGACGAGCTTGCTAGGTTGGAGAGAACTAACAGGAAAGCTAAGAAGCAATCTGCAATGGTCGCTCCACTGATCTTGGTTGAAGATGCAGAAGGTCACTTGGTTGACAGGGAAGGAAACAGGAGGAACGAAGAGGGGCAGAGAATTGATCAAGAGGGGAATGTCATTGTTGAACAGCAGGTTCAGCAAGTGGCTGATAACGTGGGAGTCCCTGCTGCTGTCAATAACGCTGCTGGGCGTTTTGTTCAGAGGACTCTAGGTGATTACAACAGACCTGATCAGTTCTATGCCAACAGAGCTGCAATCCGACCTCCTGCTTTCCAGAGGAACGATTTTGAGGTTAAACCTGTCTACTATCAGCTAGTTGGACAGCATCCATTCCATGGCTTACCTCATGAGCACCCCATGGATCACATAGAGAGGTTTGAGGATTTAGCTTCCAGTGTCAAAGCTAATGGGGTTAGCAATGACTTTCTGTTCTGCAAGCTTTTTCCCTACTCTCTTGGAGGAGAGGCTGCATATTGGCTGAAGCAACTGGAGCCTGGTTCATTAACTACTTGGGAGGACACCAAGAACGCCTTTCTGAACAACTTCTATGATGATGCCAGATCAGAGGACATGAGGACGAAAATTGCATCCTTTACACAAGGTCCTACTGAAGCTTTTAAGGCTTCTTGGATCAGGTTTAAGTCTTATCAAAGGGACTGTCCTCATCATGGTTTCAGTCAGGTGCAATTACTTGGGATCTTCTTCAGAGGCATTGACTGGAAGTACCAGATGGCGCTGGATGCAGCAAGTGCAGGAAACTTCAACACCAACAGACCAGAAGAAGCTGTAAGATTGATTGAAAACTTGGCCTGCAGTAACAGCACTAAGAATGCAGATTTTCAGAGAAAGCAGCAGGCTGGTTTGAATGATGAAAACCAAATAGCTGAAGTTAAGGCTAAGTTGGACAGCATGCACAGCCTTCTGGTGGGAAAGAAGTCAGTTCAGTTTGCTGCAGAAGTGGAGAGTTTCGAAAATCCTGAAGAATTTGAGCAGAAAGATGTTAATTTCATCAATGGAGGGGGTTTTCAGAGCCAAAAGTTTGGAAATCAGCAATGGAACAGAGGCTACAACAGCAATAATCAGCAGAGTACCTTTACAGGAGGACAGAGCACGCCTGGTTACACTCCTAAGCCCCCATTCCAGAAGACTGAAGTTGAGAAACCTTACCAAAACAGCAGGAATTATGGTTCTTCTTCCTACCAAACTGCACCTCCACAAGATAATAAAATGGAAGCTATGCTGGAGCAGGTACTTGAAGGACAGCAGAAGATGATAGTGAACTTCAATGGCAAGCTAGATTCGCTGTATCAAGACCTGAATGGAAAAATTGAGAGTCTGAACTCTCACATGAAGAAGCTTGATGTGCAGGTTGCTCAAACTGCAGGAGCTGTTTAAAGGCAAGAGGAATTCCTTCCTGGAAGGACTGATATCAATCCCAAGCATCAGGTTAATGCCATCACAGTCAGGAATGAAAAGGAGCTTAAAACAGTGCAGAAAAAGAGGTTGAGTGCAGAACAGATCGTGCAACTCATGGAGTCTGAAGATGAAATTTTTTCTATCTCAGAGGTGAGTGACGAGCGTCACCAAGGAGGAGTGACGCTCGTCACCAACATAGAAGAGAATCGGGGGTTGTCACAGGTGAGTGACGAGCGTCACCCCCCTGGTGACGGTCGTCACCCACCCCAGAACGAAGCTGCTTCGCCTGTAACTGCAAATTATGACCAGGAACGTGTCTATAAACCCAAAACACCATTCCCCAAGCATCCTAGGAAGTCTAAACAGGAGATAGAAGAAGCCAGATGTAAAGCTATGATAGACAAGCTGATGCTTGAGATCCCTCTTGTTGATGCAGTCAAGCTTTCACCAGCTCTAAGAAGGTATGTAAAGAGAATGGTTGTGAATGGTGTAAGTCCTGAGGAAGGAGCATTGCTTACCAGAGACATCAGTGCAATTCTCTTAGGCACAGTTCCGAAGAAGAAGTAGAAGGTGACTGTTTCTGAACAAGTCAATACCATCACTCAAAGCAGAGTTCCAGAGAAGCTATCTGATCCAGGGACCTTTGTGCTTGATTGCTCAATATCTGCAGGACGTTTTCCCCACTCTCTATGTGATCTAGGGTCAAGTATTAACTTGATGCCTTTCTCTGTTGCTGCTAGACTTGGAATGACTGATTTCAAGCCAGCTGGGATCTCTCTCATCCTAGCAGATCGATCCATAAGGACCCCAGAAGGCATGTTAGAGAATGTTCATGTTAACATTGAAGGCTGCATAATTCCTACAGATTTTGTGGTTCTGAAATATGCTGAAGAACTTAAAGATCCTCTTATTCTGGGAAGACCATTCTTGGCTACTGCTGGAGCCATCATTGATTTTAGAAAGGGGAACATTGAGCTTGATCTTGGTGATGTTGTCATGAACTTTGACATGGATAAGTTAAGAGGGAGTTCTACCATTGATGGTGAGACCTTTTCTGTAAGAACTTCTAGAGATGAAGAGACTGTCATGGAGCATTCAGAAGACACTATTCCTGAGTGTGTCAATGAATCAGATATAAGTGGGCAAATGACTTGATTTGGTGGTTTAGAGAGCTTGATATCTTCAGTATATGATAAAAGACGGTTGAAGAACATGCTGGCTCCATATGTATCCGAAGTTTCCTTGTTTGCTTCAATAATGCACATGTAGGTCCATATATGCAAATGGGTGGTTTAGCTCGGTCTTCTGGCATTTTAAACTGACCCAGCCATGGTTTAACTTGATCAGAACGTTTTCCTTGGTGTATAAAACGACAGTGCTTTGTTGTTAAGTCCTTAGCTTCTTTGCAAACAGCTACAAGTCTCCCTTGCTCCTTATCTTCAAGCAAAACAGGTTCTAGCTCCTCTCCTTTGTGTTTCTTCTTGATATAAGCATTGATGCTTGCATCATATATGCTTTTAAACCTATGAAATTAGAGAATCTTGCTAAAATGATCCACAAATTAAAGTCAATTGCTAAAATAACCTCTCATTTTACCATTTTTAAAAATTAACCACTTTTTTCTCACTTGTATCTTTATCAGTTCTATTTATTCACAAAATGCAATTAGATTATTGTTTTTTTATTATTTTGGAAATCCATTTTACCAAACAATCCTCATCCTCCTCAATTATTCACGAAAATACCATCATCATCAATTCACTCAACCACCATTTTCAACCAATTCGAAGCTTTATTGCTTAAATACCCTTTTTTTTGCTTTGTAACCTCATTTCCTCTTCTCTTAACCTTCTACTCTTCTATTTTTTCTCTATTTTCAGCACAAAAACTCTCTAATCTAAATTTTCAAAACTTAATGTTCTAAGATATTGCCATATCTGGTTATTTTGTCAAGCAAATCGATTAGACTTATTTGGTGGTTGCTAGAATCAAAAGTAATCGGCGGTTGAAGAAGCTAAATACCATTGGTAAGTGACTTTCCAGTCGATTTTCTTGCGTTTTCCGATTTGTGCCGCAAACTTACGGTAGTAGACTTCAGAAGAAGTCTACTGGTCAACGCACATGTTAGTTCTGCAATTAACCTTGTGTACCGATTTCCGATAATAGACTGTCTGCGCCATTTCCTTTGACAACAACAAAAAATAGCGTAGACTTCATGAGAAATCTACGTATAAAGGGGTTAATTTTGTAATTGACCAAACTTTGACTTTTCGTAAAAAGTCTACTTTCAAAGTAGACTTCTAAGAGGTTAGTTCTGCAATTGGCCAAGGTTGACTTTTCCAAGTAGACTTTAAGCGAAGTCTACTAGTGTATTGATTCAATGGTTTGTTAACCCCAAAACTAACCCATGTAGACTTTGTTTGCAGTCTACTCAGAAAGTATACTGCAAACGAAGTCTATTTGGAAAGGTCAACATTGGTAAATTGCCAAACTAACCTTTTTCATAAGTAGCCTTGCGAGTTTTGTATCATAATATTTTTTATAATTTTAGTAAAAAAAACTAAGATTTAATTATGTAGTAGATTTCTATAGTAGACTTCTAAGGGGTTGTATATTTTCTAGTTAATATTTCTTTTTGCATTTAAATTGAATTATTTGTATGAAAGTTTGTATTCTATACATGTCAAATATATATGTCGTACTTATGTTTACTAATTTTTTAGAAATTTCTTTCTTTTATATTTTCTATTTAATTTTAAAAAAACTAATTATGTAGTAGACTTTTTGTGAAGTCTACATAAATATACTTCATTAATAGTTTACAAAATAAACTTCTTTGGTAGACTTCTTGAAGGATAAAATCGTAATTATGGCATACGTATTTTGTTTAGTCACAAATGACTACGTTGTATTTTCACTATTTATTTAGGTTAGTTTTGCCAAACATTTCAATAAGAAGTATATATATTTAGAAAAAAATTAACTTTTAAGTTATAATGATCAATTCTCCCATGAAATTATAGTGTTTCCTCAAGTCATCGTGCTTCTATTTTTTCATTTTTTAAGTTATATTATTTTTGTCAAGGAAAAAAATAAAATCTGCAGACCAAGATCTCGAGAATGACCGGCTTTATCAACTCAAGCCATGTGCTTCTACAAAAACTTAAATCTCTCTTAAATAAATAAATAAAACTTTCTCTTCACGTACGTCCATGGCACCACGTGAGATCCTTCATCTGCATTTTTTTGCTGTTTATACCAAACCACTGGTCCAAGCCCAACTATCTCACGAAGTCACCAACACAATCTCACCACTTCTCTGTTTAGCCACAGTCAAGCCTCTGCTTCACCCCACTGTCCGCCGTTATGCTTCACCAATACAAGATCTCCCATCTCCGCAACTCATCGTCTACTTTTCCGACTCATTATTACGGTAGGATTCCATTGTCAATATCAAGTCACTAACTCCGCTTTTCTCCATCACCGGCTTGAGCTTGAGGGGGCATGTAGAAGGATCTAGAAGATCCATGATATTAATGATAATATTATGAATATAATTATTGAGATTTGTTTTTATGTTATATGATTCTATCAGATAAATAATTAGGTAAACTCTATCACTATATAAGTGTTTGTATTTTGTACATCTTTATGAGAGTAAATATAATTCTTCCCATTCATAATTTCTCATCAACTCAATATATGATATATAATTGAAATAAGATATGAAAAAGTGGATAGTTGGAGTTAAAAGATTTTTGAAAACTGAAAAGCCACATCAGCAGAAGTGCTCTCTAAGACGATCACATTGATAATTTAAGGTTTTCCACTTTTCAAGGGTTTTGCTGCACGGCAAGGGCTCATGCAATATGTCCAAGCCAGAAAAGAGGCATCATCACCTCAAGATCCAATACATAATGGGGGCGGAGAGTAGTTCAGTGGTGTAGAAGTCTTCGTGGGTCAATGTTGTGAAAAATAAGCCAACTTTTTCAAATCATGTTCAAAAAGTGGAGGTAATAGACGGAGTTCATTTGGTGGAAATTCCCTACAATCTCACTCAAAATTCAGTTTCACTTTGGAAAGATTCTTTTTGAAGGGAAATCTCTCTCCCATGCTCCACATATAGCAAAAATACATGTCATCAAGATATTGCCGCTTGGAGGCAAAAGTATCAGAGTAGATATTTTTGCTGTTAATGAAACAATGGTGGAATTCAGAATAAGGGATCCACACATGAGTATAGTTCTTTGGCGAGGGGTGTGAAACATTGTCGATATCGCAATGATAATCTCTATGTGGTCTCCGCTATAAGAAGACATTGAATCGAAGATAAAAAACGATTTTGATGCATATTACATTGATTTATCGCAAATGCAGTAAGAATACCAGAAGAATTATGTTCAAATTTTGAAGAAGCAAAGGTTTTTTGTAGAAGCAAACATGTCAAAAGAATTTTCTAAATTATACTGTTTCAAACCAAGTATGGAAATTGATGCATAGTTCAAATTCAATTACCAAATAGCTCTCGGCTCGATGTACAACTTGCGCCCAATGGGGACATATGACAGAAGACTGTACAGACAAACGTGGAAAGAATCATGGAAATTTTAATAAACCTCAAGAGAAATATGTGTTAAAGAATCAGACACAGATATGATGGTGGGGGTTGAATCAAAATCAATGAAAACAAACCAGAAACAAGTTGTTGTCGAGTCCCCAGTAATGGAAACACAAAACATTAATGTTGGTTTGGAGATGTGGTAGTTGAAACTCCTCCAGCAATACAGATTTTGGATGGCAAAAATTAAACAGATAGAAATGGAAAATAAAGGGACACAAGTAAAGCAAGAATAGAACAACCACTTGTCTATACCACGTACAAACAAGAAACAAACAAATACTTAGCATAATCGATTGACTTATTAATCAAGGGACATGTTCCTAGCGTTTTGGCAAAACAGAAATCCTCAAAGAAGAATTAATGCCAGAGTTCTTTTGAAATGTTTTCGCCTTAAACAAATTAACAAAAAATTATGTGATAAAGAATTGCATGGAAAAAAAGATCCGCAGGTTGGTTGTTTGCTGGAGACAAAGGTAAAGGAGAGTAAAGCAAAGAGTTTAAGTACAAAAGAAATTAGAGATTGGTCGGATTTTGATAATTATGAATACAACCGTTTAGGTCATATTTGGGTGGTTTAGAAACAGAATGTTTGACTCTCTATTTTGTTTAAGAGTGATCAAACAATAACTTATTTGGTTAAGCTAGAGGAGCGAGAGGACGAGTTGTTTTGCTCATTCATCTATGCCTCAAACTTCTTCAAGGATTTTCTATACCGGCAATACTTTTAATGGCCTCTGGGCAAAAAAAAATTTTAGGGCCCTTTTATTGATAAAAATACAAATTTGGGCCCTTAATAATTGATGAAACACACAAATTTGGGCCTCATTATTATCCTAATTTTGCTTGATTTGGGAAGTGGACCTGGGACGGTTGCACTGATTGTCCCCCCAGTAAGCCGGCCCTGTCTATAGCACAACCTATAGGATTTCCAGAGTTTTTTTTAAACACTGATTTATTAATCTATTGCAAATTATGAGAACTGTTACATCGACGATTCTGTAACGGTCAATTCTATCATTTTATGAAGATCCATGATTAACAGCTCTGCCTGCACCATGCATCCTGCACCACGCTTACCATCATCATATGAAGATCTACGCCTGACGATTCTGCTTGCACCACGCTGAAGATATCTTGTAAGCTTGCCTCCATTAATTTGCATCAGATTTTTAGAGAGTCAACAAGACTATAACCTTTTTGGTGTTCGGATGCAATAAGAGGGTACTCTTGTTAGAGAAGTCACAGCAGAGGAGATTAAAGGGATGTTATTTGCAATGTTCAAGGACAAGTCACAAGGACCATATGGATTCACATCCGAGTTTTATACAACATCGTGAGATTTAATCAGTCAAGAATTTATAATTGCCATAAAATCCTTCTTTGTGAAGGGCTTCTTGCCGAAGGGGGTTGACTCAATGATTCTAGCACTAATACTAAAGAATATGGGAGCCACCAAGATGAAAAAATTATCTACCCATCGTGTGCTTTGACCTACAAATTTTGTATCAAAAATCATCGCAAACTGACTCAAAAAGATTCTTCAGCAATTTATCTCCTCCAATCAATCAGCTTGATAAAAGGATAGATTATTGATTGAAAAGCTGTTGCTAGCTACAAAACTGGTGAAAGACTATCGCAAAGAGGAAGTGTCTGCTCGCTGCGCTATAAAAAGTGACATCTCCAAAGCTTTTGATTTTGTTCAATGGTCCTTTCTCATCAATGCACTTTTGGCTATGAAATTTCCACAAAAATTCATCTACTAGATATAGTATGTGAAACATGCAGTTTTTGGTCAAATTCTCTTTGCCTCTAATCAGTTGTAGAATATAGATCAGGTATTAATCCAATTATGGGAGATGAGATGCAAGCAATGTTGTAAGCTAATCAAGATTGGGGGTTTGATTATGTGAGAGCAAGTCTAACAACCTAGTGGTTCAATGAAAGAAAATCATAAACTAAATGCAAGTGAACAAAACTGAACAATGAACTTGCAATGACTAAACAAGAACTAAACATGCACATGTATGCAAATGTATGCAATCCTAAGCTAAATGCATGCTATGTTGATTCTAAGTGCAAATGATACCTAAATGCTAAACTATAATGCAAAAACAGAGAAAAAGATGCATGAAATGCAGCCTGAAATGATCTAAAATAACAAGCTATCAACACCCCCACACTTAGCTTTTGCTTGCCCTCAAGCAAACAAACACTTAACATGGTGATGAAGTTTTAAATGGGAACTCATATCTTTGAAAATGCTAACAATAAATCAAAATAAGTCCATGTTCCTAATTCTAGAGTGCACTTGTTGGAAAAATACTTTAAAAACTTAGCCACTTTCATCACAAAACAAGAATGATCACTAAGCTATCAATCTACACATGCTCATCAAATCAAACAAATTTTTTAACATTCAATTATGCTCAAACCATGAATCATGCTTATGCAAATGCGAAAGTGTCATTTGGCTAAGTGACAAGGCTTAGTGGAATGAAAATGATAGCACTTCACAAACTGGTTTTGGTGTTTAAAGGGTTCTCTCAAGGAAAAGCATGGTTGTGTTTTGGCAAAATGCTAAGGTTCAAAGAACAACTTACAAATACAAAGGAAGACTCCCATCTAGCCAAGATCTATAAGATGTGTTCCTAACTCTAGCTAAGCAATGAAAGACCTTCCTATGCTACCCTTTTTAAGAACTTAAACATTTTTTAAGACCCAAAAACTTTTCTTCTTCAAGCGCTTTGGAGGACACTTCTTCTTTTGAAATTTAAGTGGTGGGCATTTGCTACTTTTGAGTTTGGCTCCTTTATTTTGTGATGCTGGTGCTTGATTCGCCTTAGGCTTTTTGATTTACTGGTTTTGCATATCTTGCATCTTCTTTTTTTTTGAACATGAGCCTTCTTTCTTTGAGTTTAGAATCGTCATTTCCACCCTTTTGCGTGTGTCACACTCCTTTTTCTTTTGTGGCTTGACTTCTTTTCTTCTTTGCCTCTCTTAAAAGTAAGCCCAAGATAACCCCAAAACATTCCCCAAACACCCTAACCTATCTAAATCAAGAGTACTTCCCTTATAGTTCCAACCCAACACTTTTTGCTAAGCAACAACCATGAAGGAAGAGGCCTCACAAATCACATACTATTAATTTTTTTGGCTTGAAAGAAGGTTTAGTTAAGGGTGGGGAAATCTAAATGTATCTTTTAGAGAGCGACAAAAGAGAATAAGAAGATCCAAATATTTTAAGCTATCAATGACATCAATCACATAAGAATAAGGCATGATAATTGCGAATTCAAATTAGGTTCCACTTAAACAAAGGTTGAAATCATTTCAAAGCATGCTTCAGTCTCAAACAAAGCTCAGCCAATTGCAAATTCCAAAAGTGGTTCAGCTTTATTTCTAGTTCAACATCACATGCACCAAATGATTAAAAACAAGGGCTTCATTTTCATAAATCACTAGCATTAACAAAGATGTACTATCATAGTTCCCAATTTTAACAAGCAAGATAGTCCTATATGAATGCATGAAGTCTAAATCTTATAAGAATGCATGAAAATCAAACTCCTTTTGTGAAGCAATTTTTGAAAAATTTTCAATTTTTTTGGTTTTTTCTATGACTTATATGCTATGAAATTATGATGCATGATTCCTATTCTACTATGCAAATGCAAATGCAAGCATCAGTCTATCACACACTCTCCCCAACATTTAAATTACACAGTGCATGTGTAATAAAAATGCTAAGGAGAGTGTATACAAACATCAAGCAAACAATCACAATAGTTAAAAAAAAATGAGTGGTATTTACAATGGTTATTGTGGTGTACCTTACTTCAGATGGAGGAGTGGTGAGAGTCAGAACTCTCAATGGCATGGGAAGGTGAAGCTTCCT